ATAAGTGTGAGCTGTTTTCACTGTTGCCATTGCTTCTTAATGTTTTTCAAAGTTGATCCAGGTTCATAACCCATGTTTTCAAGATATGTTCTGAGTTTGTGTTGAGCTGATGGAAAATTTGGTTTTGCTTAATCTTCATTAAATAATGAAATATTGTAATACACAATGTGCCACTTCAAACAAACAAACAAATTCTGAACTCCTTTGTGCGTTTCTTAGTGGTATAAAAGTGTGCTTATATATATGTCTACACTGACATAAACTCCCAATAAATTCAGTGGGGCTTACTACCAGGTGAGGGAGTATAGGATTGCAGCTTTGGTATCTGATCTTGATTCATGATATAACATTTTAATTCTAATCATTTTTTAAAGTTAGCTTCTAAAAGTCTGAAGTGTGACTAGAAGATGTATCATTACAGTTCCTATTCGTGCATATTTCTCAAAAGTAATTCCACATTCAAGGCACCTTACTCTGAAGTAAGTGTACATACAATTTCCATGCTATAGTCTGATTCTAAACTTATTCCATAGGATTTAAGCCATTTTAGGGTTGCAGCCCTAGAGCAAGAACTTGCCATTTTGACAAACACCAGCCAAAGGTCTTCAGTGGTTCTGTTAGCTAATAACAGACGTCACAACTTTCAGCTATTTTATGTTAGTAAAAGCAGAGACATAGGGCACTTCCAGACTGTTGGTACTTTGTAGAAGTGATTCAGCTGCATACCACAATTTTAAATTTTCGCAGTCAATGTGGATTAAAGTGCTCTGTTGCCCGAGTGCAACAAATCCACTTCAAAAAACACACGCAACAGACTTTCTTCCTTTTTTAAACCTAGTTTCTTTTCTTTTCTTTCTTCAAAACCCAAGGTAGCATAAATGTGTTTCCCAGCCAGTCATCCATCCATTCAGACAGTGGTCGGACTGAGACCTGCTGAACTTCAAGATGGAGCCTTCATTTGGCTTCAAAACAGACCCTGTTTGGGGCCAAACTTTAGGGCTGGGCTGAATGCTCAACCAAGTTCAGCTGTGTTTCCTGTTCTGCCACAAGACCAAAAAGGAAGGGACATCTGTCATGCCCCTGCCTTGTCTTATCTGATGGAAGTTATAAGTCATGTAACAAAACTATCTATCTATCAATCAATCACTTTATTGGTACAAAATGAATGGTGTGACAGAGAAGAGAAAGGAAAGCAAAGAAGTCCCTGAGGCTCCTTAAAATGAAATATTGCAGGGTGAGTACAGAACTTAAATGACACAGAAGTTGGAAAAATGGGGCCCGTTTTCCAAATTTTGATTTCAGGTTTTAAAATTCATACCACTGAAATTTTGAAACTTGACTATGAGAGGTGCCTTATTAAACATGAGAAGTTAAGACTTGTTGGTGGGTTGTAAGTTCATCATGTTAAGTTTCAACTTGACAGACTCAATATTTGTTCTCTTCTCCCACACAAAAGAGCCCCTCAACTAATCATGTGCTCATGTGGGATACTTGAGGTTAGGGGTATGAGGAACCAGAGTTCAGAGCTGATGCGTTCTGTGTTTTCGAAAGACAAATTTCAGGGTGGGGAATTGTGCTTATTAACTTTCTCCTCCAAATTAATCCTGTCTTCATTGTGCAAACGGCCCTTTCCATTTTGCTTTCATCTCCACTTAGCTGCTGCCTGCTCATTACCCTCCACAGAAGTCTCCTGTCCTTGCCAATGATCCTGCTGAGGTTCTTCTCCCTCCCCGCTCTTTCTGATGCTGCAGCTAAGTGTAGGCACCGTAGGGCGGGCAGTTGCGGGGGGGGGGGAGAGAAGTCCTTGCCCAAACAGGATTACAAAAGAAATTGGCATCTCATTTGCAGTGGGCTCCTTATCGTTATCATTAGCGCTAATGCCTTCATCAGTTCCCCAGCAAAAGCCAGGCCTCTGGGGCCTTTCTGCCTCCTGACAGCGGAGACACCCGTGCACAGATTAATATTCAGCTCTGCTTATGCTAATGGCAGCTATTTGTAACATTAATATTTTCTTTCGCAGTAAAAATGTGCAACAACAACAGAAGTAATGATAATAATGGTTTGTCTTGAGGATTTGAGTTCTAATGGGCTTTGTGGGAGTTGGGAGGAAGGAAGCAGAAGCCGGTGACCTAGTTTTTATCACACACTGAGGGGAATGGCTGAAGGCACTCCTTTATCGATGGCACATGAGATGCTGCTATAAAATGCTGCCCCTTTTGCACATGGGGCGAGGCCTAGGCAGTTGAGTTGCCATCACTTTTTTATGGGCCTCACTCCTCTGTCCTTTGACGGTCACCTAGAATTCAGCAGGTGAAAGTTCCCAGGCATCTTTTTCTTTTTCTTTTTTACTATGCCAGGGAAAACTTCACGTGGAAAATCTCTGTTTGTCAAGCTGCTTTTTAAAGACACAAGAGCAGGGCCTGTAAAAGCAGGAGGTGCTGATCTTATTGCGACGGATTCCAGAGCGATAGCCCTGTTAGTCCATTAAAGCAAAAGCTCGAAGGAGTCCTGTGGTATCTTTGAGATTAGCGGATTTATTGTGACATAAGCTTTTGAGGAGTAGAGCCCACCGTCAGAGGTGTGATATGTAGCCTCAGTTGTCAGGCAGAGAGAGAGAAAGTAAGAGAGAGAGGTGGGTAGGAAGAAAGAAATGAAAAATATCATAAACAGTGGGATCAAATAGGAAACAAAAGGTTACGCGCAATTGCCCAAAGTCACAAAATGCTCCCGCTGAACTGAATCCGAAGAGTATCTATTTTAGTGGCTGGGGCCTTTCAGTGATGGCTGACTCATCTGGATCAGACAGCTGCTTTGAGTTGACAGCACTTTGTGGCTCTGTCCCTTTTCTGCAATTCAGATATATATATTTTAATATTTTGCATTTTGATATACCTCTGGGCTGAAAACTGTGTTGGGACATTTAGGCAGTATAAAAGCCAGTGGGTGACTGGCACTACAATCCAGACATCCTTTGCACTCAGCTTGGGGTGTGCATACCCTCCAACAGTTCTCTGATGAAAATAGGGACGTCTCATTCCATAATGATAATTTTTACTATTTATACCCCACACACCTTTACTGAGTTGTCCCAGCCACTCTGGGCAGCTCTCAGCACATACAAAAACATAATAAAACATTAAACATATATTTTTTTTAAAAAAACAAAACAAAACAAACAGGAACACAAAACTTCCCTATACAGGATTGCCTTCAGACAGCTCGGGTTTGGATAGCTACATACCCTCCAACATTTTTCCAATGAAAATAGGGACGGCCTAAGGAAAAGTGGGACATTCTGGGATCAAATCAGAAACTGAAATGGCTTCTCTAAATCAGGGACGTCCCTGGAAAATAGGGACACTTGGGCAGATGTGTCCCTCTCCCCAGCCCCACAGGTCTCGGCCAGCCTCTGCCTCCAAAATGACAACAGCATCACTGCACCAGTGTGGAGCTCCCACAGGGGGCTGGTGCAAGGCTGCCAGCGTCACCTGTTGGCATCAGGCTAGATCTAGGCCCAGTCTGGGTAGCAATTTTCTCGCTCCAGCTGGTAAGTGCAGCAGGACTGTGGATGTGGCTGTTGCCCCAATGTTCCACCACTGACTTACCAGAGTGGACTTCACTTGAATTTATTTTCTGCATGTCTGGGAGTGCAGTCAGGGCAGTTTGTATCAGAATTGACAAAGACTGAATTCCTCAATAATCACCGCAAGAAAACAAGATTCAAGGAGCTTTGTGCCCCTTTTGCATCCCATAGATTCCTCTATATTCCTAACCAATCTCCTGACTGCTGACTGGCTTGTGGCGGCATTTTCAGTGTTTTGATCAGCTGACATTTGGTTAATCAGAAGCAGTGGTCATTAAGGGCTGCCAAACATACTATGGTCCTTATTCAATTTCTTTTAACTGGTTAGGAATAAGATCTGAGCCACTGAATGCACAGCTGAATACACAAAAGCTATTTTGACTTGGGCTATTTTGACTTGGGGAGATAAGACAGGGGTGGGAGCCTATGGCCTCCACATCTTCTTGAACTCTAAATCTCATCAGCCCTAGCCAGCACGGGGGATGGTCAGGGATGATGGGAGTTGTAGTCCAAGCACATTTGGAAGTCCACAGTTTTACTGTCCCTGTCATATGGTTTGTGAATACAGAGGCCTGAAGAATATCCGGCCCCCCTGTGGTCTGTGGCTACGACTGAACCTTGTAGAAAGAGGGAATGCCAAGTTTGTGATGTCTTAACCCAGAAAATCAACAACTCTGCTTGTTTTGATTTCTTACTTGTAGCTACCCAAAGGTTTTTCTTGGCACAGGGACGTGTATTTTGAGAATGTATTTTGTTCCATAGGCACAGGTTTTTCTATGTCAGGTTGTTAACATTTTGATTATTTTATGTATGTAAATAAAAAAAAAAAAGATTTTTGCAAGATGGTGGATTGAGAACCTTTAAAAATTGCTGTAATTAGGTTCTCTGGGAGAGCATTATGATATTTAATAGGCCCCTTAGTGATAATTTTAGTAGCCTAGCCTGGTGCCTGACAAAGTACCGTACACAGCATGTTTAATGTTGTTTTAATTAACAACTCTTAAAAGAAAATGTCAATTATGTTTCGGTATGTTCGGGCGTTACATTGATGGTAAGAATAAGGCCTCTTATTTTGAAAGGAGAAGGAGGACAAGCTGCATTATTCAAGGATGGGGGTGGTGATTTTTAATTTCTTCATCCCCCACCGCCAAGCTGGTTTTCTTTTGCCACAGCCCTACCATCGTTTTCCCAGAGGCTGATTGAGAATTATTTCTTTTGCTTTCTCCAACAGCACTTTGCAAACTTTAAGATATGCTACAAAACACCTACAGCCAATCAACATTCTTTTTAAATGTCACATTCTCATCCACCTGCTACTTTGTGGGAAGATTGCAAGCTTTATTTCTGGGTCTCTAAATTCAGGTAGGTAGCCGTGTTGGTCTGACGCAGTCGAAATAAATTTTAAAAATTAAAAAATTGTCCAGTAGCACCTTAGAGACCAGCTAAGTTTGTTCTGGGTATAAGATTTCATGAAGAAATGCACACAAGAAAGCTTATACCCAGAACAAATTTAGTTGGTCTCTAAGGTGCTGCTGGACAATTTTTAAATTTATTTTGACTGGGTCTCTGAAGACAGCTGAGATGTTTCAAGGTTGTTTGTGCTTTGAAAATGCAGAAGGCCTTATCTCCTTGTGGGGGTGGAGGTTTTTCACCTCTCTTCCAGTAGCTGGAAGAGGTAATGGGGAGCAGAGTGTCTTCACCATGGCCTTGTCAAACTGATGGAAAATGTAGGTTTGGTAGCGGCATGTGTGATGGTGAAGAGCTGCCCTCCTGCTGCTGGCATTGCTGCTGCTTACTTGGGTGTAGCTGGGTGGCGGTGAGGTCAGAGATGGACAGGCCAGATTGGTAACAACAGTTCCACCACTAGACCAACTCAGCCCCAACTTTCCTTCTACCCAACCAATGGTGGATGTTGGGCTCTCAACTTTCAGCAGTGCCCTGTGCAACACTAAAATTCAGTGGCTCCCCACCTCTTGTGCTTTGTTCTACAGCACTGTTGTAGCACCCCCTCCAACATTGCACCCAGTGCGGCTGAACCAGTTGCACAACCCTAAAACCACCTCTGACCCACCCTGTGATCATAATCAGCAGCAATGCAGGTAGCAGGAAGACAGCTCCGCCCCACTGCACACTCTGCTACTGGCCCTACTTTTCCCACCAAAGAGACAAGGCCATGATGGAACCAGCTTTTGCCTCCCCCAGCTATTGAGAGACAGATGGAAAAACCAGAGCATGCTTGTCTACAGTTCTGCCCAGGCTGCAGCAATGATGCTGGCGTCAAGAGGGTGACTGTGCAACTCCACCCCAATACATGCACTGCTAACTGGGAGATATTCCCTGATGTAGTGAGTGGACAGGCATGTAACTAGAAGTTGTTGTCACTCATGATCATGTGAACATTTAAGAATGTGTCCTTTAGATGCAAGCTCTTTAGCAAGGCAAGTAGCACGACTTTTGAGAGGCGCAGCAAGCTTAAGGAGGGTGGGCAGGACAGCAGAATGAGGGTCTTGGGCAACTAGCTATTCCAGTAGGCAATGTTCAGTTTGTTAAGGGCTTTTGACTCAGACAATGTGGTAGAGCAGAATGAGAAGTGATTGGTTGCACCTTGGTCAACTTTAAAGCAGTTCCAGATATTGCCTGGTAGGACTTGGATGGAATAAAAGCTGTTGTTGCCACAGAACAGGCTGAAGTTCCCTTACTTGCAACTGTTGAGTTGGGATGTTTTGGCTTGCAAATGGGGGGTGGGATGTGGTTCTACTTTCCCTGCATTTTTCTTTGTCTTTGTCTGGAATGTACTGTTTAGAGTCCTAATATTACATTGAGCTGAATCCAATACTGGGCAAGCAGAGTTTCACTCATAAGAACAGGATTCCCCCTCCTCTCTTCCTCTGTGTGCCCCAAAATCTGCTCTGGTGGGTCCCTCAACCCTATGGGGCATATTTTGAAGGTGCAGAGGCAGCTGCAGGGGAGAGGAGAGGAAGGAGGAGTTCTTTTGTGCAAGCAGTAGTCTGTTGCATGCATGGAATAGCCATCCTTGATGCAACCCTGACAGACTGACCTTTCCATTGTTCCTATACCCATTCATTTAGCACACATTTCATTTCTCCGTTTCTCTTATTCTGCCGCTTTTGCTTCTTCTTTGCTTTGTGGTGGAAGGTTCAGACCAACCGGTCAGAAAAGCGAGTGCATTGGAGTCATGTTGCCCCAATATGTTTTTACGCATTTGCACGCTGAAAAGAAACTCATCTGAATCAGCAGCCAGTACCATTTCCAAGGCAAAACCAGGTCAGACCCTGGAGCAGCAATTTCACAACTCTTCAAAAGCTTTCCCTCTGGGCATTGTCACAGAATACTTTCAGCCCTTGGCAACCACAGGTTTTAGCCAACTGTTGCTGAGTTTATCCACACAGCCACAGGCTGAGCAAGCTGTAAGCATCACCAACATCATGTGCTGAAGTCAGCATGCATCAGGCTTTTGACACTCCAGTACTACCACAGCATTTACACAATTGCTTTAGCATGTGGGCACAGTCTGACTGAATTTTGTGGTCATTATAGGATGGAATAACCTTTAAACTGATTCTCTAACACAATATCTTGTAGCTCTTTCATTTTCCTTGAAACCCTGTGCAGACTCCCAGTGCAAGGGGACACATATAGCACACTGCTTCTGTGCAAGTTTACTCAGAAGCAGCAGCAAAGTGCAGCAGCTCATTATAGTCCTATAGCTCAAGAAGTGTCCATAGCTATGTCCCCAAGGATAGTCTAAAGATGCTGGCAACTGCCATGATTGCTAGCATGAAGTAGGAACCCTGTCAAAGAAAGGGTAAGGAGTATTCAGCCTCTGTGTGATTATTTTCCCCGTTCTCATGGCTCCTAAACACAGTTGGCCTTTTTGATAAGCTGGTTAAAATTATGTCAGTTTTCATAATTGGAAAAAGAAAAAAGAAAAAACACCAAGCAAGCAGGTGCTGGCCTAATTAGTAAGATTTCTCATTGTTCTGGAGGTTTTATACAGCTATGAATCACTTTACTGGTACATAAATTCACATCTTGCCTGCTTCAGGTAGGTAGCTGTGTTGGTCTGATGCAGTCGAAATAATAAAATAAAATAATAAAAATAAAATAAAAAACTGTCCAGTAGCACTTTAGAGACCAACTAAGTTTGTTCTGGGTATAAGGTTTCATGTGCAGGCACACTTCTTCTTGTGGTATCTGAAAGCTTATAGCCAGAACAAACTTAGTTGGTCTCTAAGGTGCTACTGGACAATTTTTAAAAATTATTATTATTATTTATTTTGCCTGCTGAATGTGTTGGTGGAAGTACTGCTGATGTGATCTCTGCAGATGGTCACCCACAGACAGCCTCAAAATGGAATGCTCCTGGGGCATTCCCAATCAGGGATCTTCTAGCTCCTGAGCCAACTGCACTGCTATCCTTGACAGCATCAGACCTTGACCTAAGAGATAGGTACTTTCACTACCCAATCATAGTGGGGAACATGGACTGGGGCTTTTACTGGGGCTTCCCCTGAATAGCATTCCTGGCAAAGTATGACAGGTGCCAACTATTTGCATTTTTCTGGAAGCAATTAAAGACTTTGTTTCAGCAGGGTTTCCCAGCTAGATAAATGAGTCTTTGCCACCATTGTCTATTTTGTATTGTTTTCATTTTGGTTTATATTCATCAGCTTTTTGTGTTTTTAACTGTCTTTAACTGTTTTTATTGTACAGTACATCTCCTTGAGACAACTTTGTAGGAGGCAATTGATAAATAAATGGTGATGATAGCCAAGCAAGGTTCTTCCCCCCCCCCAAAAAAAAACGCCCATCTTAACTGGGAATCAGCAATACATTTGTAATAATCAACTGGTGATAAAAAATCACATATATATGAAACAAATATGGAAAACATGTATGGTTCCATGCCATCAATGCTCAGGTGAAATAATAATAACAAATGAAATAAAAAATGGAGTAAAGCTGCAGTAACATCATCAAACAAAAGAAATGAAGCCTATACACCTTTACCCATTCAACTATGAAAAGCAAAATATATGGTGGTGGTGGGGAAATATTAAGAGGTTCTCCATTAAAAAGTGTCCCTTGAATGCTTTCAAACTCTGACTTTAGAAGATGATGAAAGTGCTCACTTTTCCTGCTGCGTGTATAGGGCACTGTTGTATTGGTACTTCCCTTCCAGTCTTTCTTCAGACATAAGCTAGCCCATAACCCTAATCATTTTTGTCAGGAGCAGGTGTATAAAATAAAAGGTCAATGGGAAAGCAGTGGGAAAGGTGGTAGCCTGGAGATAACTGTATCACCAGCAGTTCTTCAGTAATACAGGGAGTGAGCACCATCTGATACTCTGACATTTCTGACTAACACGCCACATGCCTTGTTTGTCTCTTGGTTACTAGTAAACTAAAGACTGGAAAAAATAACAAACTTTAATGGAGGTATTATTTAGAAGTTTCTCACGCATTTTTCTCATTGCTATACTGGTGCCCTCCACTTGCTAATGGTGCTATCACCGTGGCCTCCCTGTCCGCTTAGATATCTAACCCACAGAATCCATACTGCCAAAAGTTCACAAATAATGATGCATGGACTTCCCTCATCTTGAATGTTAATCAGCTCAAGAAGTGTGAGCATAATCTGAGAAGTATTTTTTAAAAGAGCTCTGACGTTGGCTCATAAGTGTATTCTGGTACTGCCACTTAGGCTTTAGGGATGGGGGTGGGGATAAATTTGGTACATAGTTCATGTTTTAATCTGAACCTCTCTAAGCTTCACTCCCTGAAGCAATGTGCAAACTGAAACACAGCGATCCTTTGAAATTTGCACTGCTCTGAATTTTGCGAGGCGGTTCTCCAAACAAACAACAAAGTGCACAAAAAGGAAGATTTTAGGGGAAAACATGCAGAGAGGCGAGCATTTGTGAAAATAACATAAAATATGTGTATTAGGCAAATTTGTATACAGAAAATAGGTATATTAGAAGACATATGCACTAAAATGTGGGGGGTTTTTTAGAGCAACAACAAAAAATAAACTGATATGGAAATGCAGTGAATGGACCAAGAGTGGAAAAATGAGGAAAAGAGATGCTGAAACTCACCAATTTATCCATCTCTAATCTGGGGTGTAGTGCAGGTGTAAGGGAAGGTATTGCATTGTCTTACCTAGGCAACCACCTCAAGCTCCTTTAGGTCAATGTATGGTGTGCATCATGATTAGGTTTTAATTTTATTGGTTTGGTACATGTTTAAATTGGTTGGTTCATTTGCTGTTCACCATTAGGTCCCCAATCCCAATGAGCCCAACAAATAGTTGTATAGAAGAGTTTTCCCAATAGGCTAATGATTTGCCTTTGTAAAAGCTACATTTACATGATGCATGTCCTGCCCGTGGGGCATACTTGGGATTTTGTAACTTGAAAACTCCTGGCCAAATTGGTTGCTTGAATTAAGACCCAGGAACCAGAGTATTGTTCTGCAGCTGTCTTTACACTACAATTTTCAAAAGTTCAAGTCAAT